CAGCTTATTCACTAACAGACCAATCCAGTTGAACCAAGTCTTATCTTATAGAGTGGAGCTCCTTCTATATTATCCAGTGAAAATCCCTTGGTTGCATGCCTCGTATCTCTGCAGAGCAGGCTGCATAGATGCCTTATCATTTCATTCAATAATATGATATTGTCACGATAACTACAGCAGAGCCCGGAGTCGAACGCGTTGTTAAGAATCCTACTGAGTAGGACCTTGCGACAGGTAACAATACTTCTCTTTGAGGTGATAGTTCTCAGGCCTCTGCCTATGCGATCAAAATAGTCCAGTCCTGTAACTACTATCTGATTAGCGCCTATCTCCTTATTCTTCTTCTTAGTCCTCACTCAGGACTTGGTCGTTCGACATGGGAGGAGAAATAGTTTTCTCGCTTGAGAGGTAAGACAATTCTCGGATTTCTTAAAATAAATCTTAAAGAGCGTAAAAGTAGGTTTTATTGATAATAACTTAAAGGTAGGAAATAAACAAGGAGAACATGTGAAGAGCTCATACTCAGGGTCCTAGTGACCCTTTATATAGTTGCTCTTCACCTGGCGTGACTCACACCTCGCGTCACGTGAACCCTGTGACTCATAACCATGAGTCATATGAAATCCATCAGACGACTCTTATGAGTCGCTGCGCAACATACCTAAAACCAATCAAACTACAATAACCAAGTCAGGTGCGCAACTTGCGTCACCTGAGTGAAACCCATGACTCGTAAATATGAGTCATGTGCGAAAATCATAACATCGTGTGACTCACAACTGTGAGTCATGAACAGGTAAACATAATAACCTATGGCGCACTGATGTGCGTCATGTGAAATCCCAACATACCTATAACTCAGAAGTCCAAGCTATGTGAAATCTGCCTCACTTAGTCACAGTTTGTGACACACATACTCTTATGCATTTAGTCACGTGCCGCACCAATTACGCTTCTATGTGTAACAACACCCTTCTAGATATTCAAAAGGAATCGGGTTCTGATCCACATTATTGATATTCTGTAACATATATTGCCCAACCTGGCATCTACCTTCTTCAGAACCTCCTTCCTCCCTAGGACAATACTAGGAATTACAGCAGTTAAACTGCAGCCAGCTAAGTATCGATTCTTCAATATCCTTTGAAAGTTGGCTTGCTTTATTAGTAACGAAGCGGAGACTAATCTGGTGCTATCCTAGGTATCCTCGAAACCAACTATTAGAGAACTTAAATGCCTCTCGGTCCCAGGTCAAATAGTTCTTTTGTAAGAGTTCTCTGCTAACCTTTTGGAGCTGGCTTCGCCTAACTGGCCATCCTAGCACTCTTCACTCCCGAAATTTCTCAAAGAGCTCTTTCTCTATTTCTATCTACTGGAGTCCCTGTCCTCCTCCTCTTGCTCTTCGTTGTCCTGCCTTCATGGTACCAAATTTTCCTTCCTTCTCCTCCTTCCTCTATCTCGACAGGTTGGCAGTGGGGACATTGAAATAGTGAGCCATCGCCTCTTGTGTCAGCTCATGAACTTTTGTTGGACCACAAGCTATTTTTGTCTGCATCTAGTCAGAGAGAATTCGAAGTTTGTAGCTAACTGTATATGACCTATAGGGGTTTTCAACTTTTTTCCCTGACTTTTGGAGAATTTTGGCTAATGGTTCTCAATTAGGTCCTCGCTTTTTCTTAATTCCAGCATAGCATTTGTCTGCTGGAAGTGGAGGAAGATTTAGCTATATCCAGGTCCGGCAGCAAGGTTGTGATGGCATTTTCACAATATTTTCAATTTATTTTTATACTATTAGTTATATCTTTTTTTTTCCTCTCTCCTCCTTTATTTACTATTTTTTGTACCTACATGATCAACTGAGGTTGCAATATCCTTCCAGAGACATCTGAGGTTTCTGATTTCTCCTACTTTTTTTAGTGTCAAATGATCTCCGAGACACCAATTTCCGTCCCTTCATGTCTTGCACCTTATTTTGACTTCATAGCACACGGTCCAATTATTCAAGATTTTACGGTACAGGGCAGATGGTTCATGGAATATCTGTAGTACTCCATGGCCCCTGACCAGGGGGTGGCCTGGTGTCTTCTAGATGTACCAAGCATCAATCAGGTGCTTAGGATGGTCAAGGCGCAACATGTGAAGGGGCCAATCGGGTACCCCCGGTCTCTTCTTGGGGCCAGCTGTCATGGTTCCCGATCCCTGCGTCGGGAAGGCAACGATTGTCATAGCAGAAGGTTTCAGTAAAGGGTGGTCAATTTCTCGGTTGATGGTATCTGAATGGGTTTATCGCCAAGCGCATGGTATCTAAAAGGTTTTCTCTTTGAACAACACTTCCCGGAACCGAGGGTGACCAGACGCCCGCTTAAGATAACTTAGTGACTTTGCGACACAATACCGTCATGTCATAGTGTGGCCGTGATCTCCCCATCGAGTCATGGGGGGTTCTGCGGTGACGTGAAGAACACCCTCGCTTGTCGCGTCCCCTCTCGACCATTCTTTTTTCCAGGTCCCAAACAAGAGGAAAGGCCAACCCTGCAACCAACGAAAGTTGAGAAGTGGATCCCAAAGCCTCAGGTCTCAATGGAAATATATTGAAGACGCGATCTGATTTTTTGAATCACAATCGACGATCGCTAAGACGCAAGGTGGCCGGTCGATGACCACTCGTGATGTGAGTTGACTCAGCCCATCGATGCTAGATGCAAGGTGGCGGTGTAGAGGGGATGGTGGCTGGCGTCTAAACAACTTGATTTGGCTAAAATAATTCCGATAGCTATGATAGAGCACGATAATGCCAACCCCAGTCACCCCCGGCACCCCATCGTGCCGACCGTGCATATGTATCCGACGACCAAAATTTTCCTCCAATAGGGCCCATCCCAGAGACCGATATGGTACAGGATTAGGGCTCATCGAAGACTCGCGCTTCGCATCCCGAAAGGCATTGAGCACTCTACAGGAGTCGGGGTCGGTGTTCTCTGGGGACAATTAGTGGAAAATTTTCGGGAGAGCCAATCAAGACTTTCATCCACAGATAGAAATGTACCATGATTTATGATACCGGCCGACCTGGAACTGCATCCAAGCTGTCAGGCGAAATGTTTTCACTGCGACAAATATGTATTTTTGATCTACGTGTAACAGAAGATAATCCCAGAATACTCGAGTACAAGTACTGTACTCGTAGAATGAAGTAGCTCGTGGACTGACCACTAGGAGCACCGGTACTCGTAACGTGAGGGGCAAATCTTGATGCAATTAACTGATACCCGTAAATATACCGCATGACAGTGTAACAGACCATGACATCACTGTGGGAAGGAAAGAAGAAGAATAGGGGAGTGCTTATGCGAGGATAGATTCCACCGAAAACTCTGCCAAGGCCAAGATCCAGTGTAGCGGTACTGTACCGGTACTTGTATCGTACTACCGTGGGAGGTTAGGGAGATTCAAAGCTCTCGGTACGTGTACTGCACACGTGTTGCGGGAGAGGTGTATTTTCTGGAAATTACGGTACAGAGGTACAGTACTGTACGGTACTGTACCAGTACCGGTCTATTTCACCTCCTGCACTAGTCAATTTCAGTCAGTCAACTGCCATCCAACGCCGAGGTCGTCCCGGACGGGTGAGGACTAGCGCAGTCAGACAGTAACTCGTAGTCGACGGCCGCCGACTGAACGACTGGAAGCACTAGATACGGATATTCCTGACCACTGGCTGTAGTACAGTACAAGTACTCAGGTTTCTACAAGTACCCCAACATCCAATAAGCAGTACCAACCGCATCCGAGCAATACGGTATATCAAGGTGCTGTAATCCTTTCTCGGTCCCAAAACATAGCAAGGTGAGCAAACAAGATGCCCAATGCGTCTGCGTCTCCGTTTCTACAATATAATTAGCCAGTCCCCGCGACCACGACCGCGACAGGAACCACTCACCCCTTCTGGAAATCATACAACAACCACAGTTCAGATAAGATATCGCGGGTCATTTGTCAAAGCGGTACGCGGCGCACGCATGCGGCCGTGCCAGAGTGCAGAAGGAGGAAGCGAGGAACCGCACGGGACGTCACTGAACTAGCGCTAGCAGACGATTTCCATGCAACCAGCATTGAGAGATAGGCGAGCCACACGGGTGACGAACAGGTCTATGTGCGGAGTGCCGGAGAAGGGGGTTGAGACTGAAGGGGATGGAGAAAGAAGCTCGATACCAGGATCCCTCGGGCCCAATATCCACCTTCATTCAGTAAGGCCGGTTGCAACGGGAATCGTGAATTCACTGATGGGGTAAAATATTCCGTTCATGCCGGTCAGGCTAGATGAGTATCGATCGACATACTCTAGTTACATCTTGACAGATGATGTATCCCTTCACAACCTTTGCCCCGCAAAGGAAAGAAAATAAAATTAAAATAAAAATAAACAATATATCGTCGAACCTGCGAGCCGCTACGGTGTAAATGGTTGGCTGGTGGTAGCTACCTTGCTCGGATTTTTGGCTCAAGTTGGGGAATTGATAGGCGCCCTAAGAGCTCTGGCATAGGCTTCCTCACTCTGATTCGTCTCATTTGGTGTTATCGTATAACCCGTTAAGCAGTTAGGCGTAACAGTAGAGTCCCTTCCACTCTCCTTCGGATACGGATAGGGAGTACGATTATACCGGTATGCGATGATGTTTAACTATAACCCGGCCACAAGATAAAGGGCCCTAGGATCTCTGCTAGCTATTGGACCAACCTTCACCGGTCGGCCGTCAAGCAAAATCCCAATCCTATCTATCATTCGATAACCAACGAGTCGAAATGACATCTCTTCTCGTCCTTCCGCAGCCACCGTTCGGTCACTTGCGTGCCTCTGCGGTCACGACAATGGTGGAGAACATTTCGAAAAGACTTCTCACCTTGCACCCCAGGTCGCTCCTCGTGGCAATTCTCGTTTTTCTACCCTTCTCTTCTACGTTGCCTATTCGCCAGTACCCCATAAAGCTCACCTTCCGCCCATGTCAGGAATAAAACCCAAATCCAAGCACAGCCCTAAGGCGATCACAAGGCTGAGGGACAAGCTCCCAACAGGACCATCGGCCGAGGGTACAGGGTCGATTGAGATCGCAGTTTCCGAGCAGTCTGTGTCCCCGGCAAACTGGCGGTCAAGTGATGAGCATTTCCAATTGGAAAAGAGTGCGATATTTAGCAAGGTGCTCCCCGATAATTCTCAGAACAACCCTGTGCTTTCTCCCCCCTCGCGGTTCTCGAGTCTAACGCCTTGAAAGTCCTGGATCTACGTCACACACAGTTCGCGGTTCGAAAAAGTGGGAGACTGGGTATCTTTCGAGATCACGGATCTGCCATTCTTCATCGTCCTTGGGAAAGACAACCAGCTACGCGCGTTCGACAATGTATGTAGGCACCGAGCATACCCCGTCATTCGCAGGGCAACGGGTAGCTCCGTAACCATAGGTAATTACGCACTCGGCACAATCCTCCATGACAAGAGAAGGGTGGACGCGTTGTCTAACGACGGACACACGCAGGTTGCCGATACCACGGCTGGCCATATAATGTTCAAGGGGCGCTGATCAAGGCACCGTGGTTCGAAGGTGTTGAGGGATTTGATAAAGAGCGCAATGGCCTGTTCGAGATACACGGTCGCACAACCAAAGAAGGGTTAGTTTTCGTAAACTTGGACGTCTCCAGGAGTGCTGTCGCGCATCCCGAAGATAAGCTTAACGCAGCAGCAGCAGCAGCAGCAGCAGCGTTGCACGGAGGAATCAAGACAAGATGGGTGGATGGTTGGGCAAGGGAAGGAAGATTCAACTGGAAAGTACGGTAGCCCTTCGCAAGTTTGTTTTTCCGATCAATCCTCGGCCCCCGCACGAGATCCGTCCTGGGTTGGAGACGGATCGGCATGCTTCATACCTTAATGACAATTTTGATACTACGCACCCCTCGAGTCGTATACCGGTACTTGTAGCCCTTCCGAACACGCTGGGTAAGAGTTTATTTTCTTTTTTCCTCCCATGAATCAGCATCGGTAGTCGCTCGAACTCAACTCCCATAGGCCAAGAATGCAGGGGAACGGGGGAGTCCGTGATCTTTCCCTAATTCCAGCGCAGTCATTGTTTCCCTGCCGCGACATGGAGGCCTCGTCAGTTGGGCCCATCGAGTTCTCATTCCTTCCGTCGCACAATTCTAGATTGTCTCGGGCCATTCTCGTTTTCCCTTGGCAAAAGGCTTGGAGTAATCATGGCTGACGGCGAGACCGAATCGAGTACCAGATTACCCCGAACCCAGGACGGAGAGCAGCCACCAACTGGTTCAAGATCATATGCCTCAACACTCTTTAGCTCTCTCTCCCTTCCGCCTCAAAGAGCAGAAGTACTCGTACGAGTACCCACATATTTCCCGTAATAACTCTTGTCACCCCGGGCGGCGCAAGAGACGGTGGAATCTGGTTTTCCATACGTCTTCTCCCCTTATCTGTGGAAACATCCGTGTTGTCGTACGATTTCTACGGCGAACCTGAGAATAGTAAGGATGATGCGGAGAGTTTAAAGGGGATGGCGAAAAATACAATCGAACAACTGGAGGCCAAACAGAGGCAGTTGTGCGCAAAAGAGTACCTGTACCAGTACTTTCCCCCCTTTTTCCTTTTTTATCTCACATGAGGTCACCGAGTGCCCAGTGGATGGAGGGAGGACGGTACCGGTGCCGTATCATACTGTAGCACAGGGATTCTAATCGGTGCTAGACTAAGACATATTTCTTGGGAACCCTCAAGGGTCGGAGGTGTTGACGACCAGCACGAGGGTGTGAAGAGGAGTGAGAAACAGCGACTGATCAATGCCACCGAAAGTAATTTGTTTTTTGTTCTTTTTTTTTCCTCCTGCCCCCCCCCCCAACCTCCAGCTCACGGTGCCCATCCGTTCTTATCCCTTTTCCCTTTTTTTCCCACTATCCATTATTTGCTTCTCCAGCAATCGCGAAGGGTAATATTGAGAGGTTCGTTCCCGTCGAGTCCAGAAGCCCTCCTTTTTTTCCTTTCCCCACTAAAAAGCAAGGCTCTCCTGCAGAACCTACCTGCTTGGATTATGCGACTTGAATCGCGAATCATGCCCCATAGTAAGAGTCTGGGCATCAGCTAACGTCTACCCAAAAAAATCAAAAAAGAGATTAGACAAGCTCAACTGCTTCCAATGCTAACCTACACCCACACCTTCGAAAAGAGAAAGAAATGGGTGGGACAAAGATTTTCCTGCATCCGCCGGAGAGCTATACATGGGGCAGGAAGGGATTGAAGCTGATATGGGTTCGTATTTTTATTATTATTTTATTTTCCCCGTCGCTACCCTTTGCTAAATTGATTTTTTTTTTTTCACCTTTTCACCCTCCTGCAAAGCAAGCCTCTCCCTCGATTTTGGAAGGGCAGACTCTGGCCAAATATGTTTTCCCGGACCCCTATGGTAGAGGTGTCTTAGGGGATGAAAGTTTGGAGCTACGGTACCGTTAGACTATGATATGATTTCTTTCGGCTCTGCTTCCAGCTGTCCCAGGCCGTTTTCTTGGCTCAGCCTGCTCACCCCCACCGTACCTCATTCCTTGTGACCTGCCAGAGTCTCCAACGGATTCTTTTTGTTTCTCTTTCCCCCCCCCCCTCCCCCTCCTCCCCTCCACCCCTCTCATCCTCCCCCCCAGTTTTTCAACCGTATCAGGCGCGATTGTGGTCTGTGTCCCTCGCAGCGCGCACCAGCCACGTTCAGTGGTGAGGTCGTTCACTCCCGAGACAACAGGCCGCCCGCGAGTCCCATCCTGCACTGTACTAGTATTCGAGTAGAGTACCGGTACCGTACCCCAAGGAGGTCCAGCCGCAGTTGGTTCCATCGGAGCTGGAAATGATGCCCGTCACTCCCCCTGCACATCCTGGTCATCGAAATTCATGCGATCTGTTTTTTAAATCTTTCACTTTTTTATTTTTATTTTTTTCTCCTCCACTCTTTTCTTTTCTTTCCCCCTACTCGAGTATCCCCTCCAGCGTGGCAGCGGCTGCGCATCAGCGGTTTCCATCACATTGGCTGACCGCAACCGCTTGGACAGTCTGTAAGGAGCTCAACCGGTGCACTGCCAGCAAGGAAAGGAATCTCTTCCATTGGTAGCCGAAGCCGTTGCCAGAGATTCGAGAGAGATATCTACGGTAACGAGCTCGCTATATTCTGGGACCATAAAGTGTGCACCCGCAACTTCTTGATGTAATATTTCCGCGCAACAATAATAACAGCCTCGTAACGAGAATGTATATATTGGCGCTTGAAGAGTGTGAGCCGCGGTTGTCTATTAGCGTAAATTACGGGCACGGATATGTCTTTGCCGTTGGACTAACTGAAACGGATAATAATAGAAGTTTTTTCTTTTCTCTCTCTCTCTCTCTCTCCTTATGCGAGCAAGTACAAGCGCCTATGCGTCTCCAACCACTATTTGCCTCGGGTGCTGCTATCAGAGTTTAGGCGACTCCGTATGCCGCTAGCGCGGGAATCGAGCATGAATAGGAGCGATGGCGTGATGGGATGAATATATTATGATCGAAAAAAAGCACGTCTACAGTGCAAACGCGGCACGCTACATCAACATAAATATCCTGAAAAAAAACTTAACATAAGGTATAGAATAGGAAGAAACAGCTACACTTCTGCAGCGCCGTACCAGAACAAGAATCATCTCGGCCGGTGACCGACTTCGAAGCTTTGCGAGGCTCACTTACCCTTCGGGACAAGTGGTGATTAAGGGCCTAGGCTTCGGTTAAACTTAATTTTGAGAGTCTGTGGATCCCCCCGTAAGCAGTATAAATGGCCTCAATGCTTTCTGCACTCCATTCCCGGTATCGATTTTCCCAATGCTTGCTTTTTCTATTTTTCTTTCTAATGCTATCCCCGACTCGAGTTCTTTTCCTTTTCCTCCCTCCCTTTCTTTCCTTCTTTTCCCTCTTCAACCATTATGGCCGTCAGTAACATGGTGTGGTGTGTTAATGTTTTAGAGAGACTCAGGCCCGTCACAGCTGGATGCTAACAATAGCGATGGTGTGATAGCGGTATCTCATAGATAATGGCGGCAACTTATGGCTCCGATTGATGACTACGCATGATCGACGGGATTAAAGAGCGCTGATGATACAGCCCCGGAAACCCTGTGGGAAAAAAAAAAAGGGGGGGGGGGGGTGGGGAAGGAAAATAGGAGGGGGTGAGATGAATGTGGTACGGTACCGGTACAGTACGAGCACTGTGACGGGAGAAAAGCAAGGTATGATAGGGAGGAGCCATTACTGTTGCAATGACACAAAGGTGCATGGTGCATGGGGCTATCGTATGAGTTATGGGAGAGCACTTCACAATGGCTACCGGTTCGATACGGGGATGATACCGTGGATAATGGTGGTGGTGGTGGTGGTGGTGGTGGCGACAATGCTGGAGCGCTCTCGGGACATGTGTGATGGCGGTCGAGCAGCCGCGCTGCGCTGTAGGGTACACGACATGGAGGGAAGGAGCCAGTGGGGACGCGGGTTGGGCATTTCGTGCAATCGGTGACGCTCCCTCCACTGCAGCAAACTCCGCCCTTTCAGCCTCCGGGAGAGGGTGAGTGACAGGGGCTACGAATGCAGATCCATGCTTCCCTCAGAGCTTGGCGGCTGCCTTGCCTCAACAGTGAGCCTACGAAGTTGCCTACCGGCTTGGAGAGACGATTGGAACAGCCTCAACCACAGGGCACTGTCAGAACCCAATTGAGTGGACTGCAGAAGAAGAGCCTCATCTTGGCGAATGAGAGGGTGACCTTTACCCACTTCCGCCATGCTCTGTTGGTCCTGCGGGAGCTGCAAGGTCCGAGAGACGGCGGCGGGTATCATGCTTGCACAGATGATGGCATTCTGTAATTCTCTCAACCGAGCCCTCTCTCCACATTACCTTGCTTCTTTGACTCTCGCTTCGCCTCCTCTGAAACGGAGGGGAGAGAGCTAAGCTCCCTTCACATATCATTCCGCCCGCCGCACCCATCCGAGGGGGGAGAGGGATGGAGGGGGGGGGGAGGGGGAAAGGGAAAGGGAAAGAGAAAAGAGAAAGAGAATCATATCATATATCATCTCCCTTCTCTTCCAAGATTGAGGGAGCTTTCGTCCAACGAGTGACTAAGAGTGCGCACCACCGCTTCTCACACCTCCTCGCACATTCACCATATTTTTTTTCTTTTCTTTTCTATCAGACGCCAAGGTCCACTGCAACTGTTTGTTGCAGCCTAGTTTCTGACTCTTCGGGGAGCTTCCTACGTTCCTCCATTATTATCAAAGTTATCATTACTATTGTCATCCTTTATTTATTTTATTTTTCAATTTTTTTCTGCCAGTTCCTCCCCCCAATACTCCCCCTTTTTTGTGCTGGTTAATCCACCACCATTGGTAAGAGGAACAAGCGCAGAGGCCGCGAAACGAACCTTTTTGGCCAGCCCGACCGACCCTCTCCCACCTCCCGCCAATCCATCTTTTGAAGCTCCAGGCTTGTCGACTGGAACTCTTCCTGGTGGTCTCACTGGCCCCGTTGCACCCCACGGCACTGGACTCTCTACCTTCCCGGCAGCCAGTCGAAAGCTCTCTCTCTCCTCTTACACCTGAGCTCTGCTACCCGTGCCGCACCGGTACAAGTGCGCTCGAGTCTCACACATATATATCCGTTCGTCTCGTTCCCTTACCATCCCCGCCATTGGGGGGAACCACATAGCACTCACTCGTCCCCGAGCACTTTTGCCGTGAACGAACCTCCCTCCATCGCCTACAATGGATGCGTCTTCTTCCGGTGACACTCGTGTGCAAAGAAGACGAGCTGGCAAGCATAGTCAGAATGGGGAAGGGTGAGTCCCCATAACCACCGTTTCCTCCGCCATGAATCACTTTTCATTTTTGAATTATCCCTTCCCCTCCATCCCATGCCTCCTCCATTCCATACACCGAGTGCTCTCCGCGGGGGGAGTGTATTGCGCACGCATCCTACGCAAGTCTGTTCGGACATTACGCGCACACGTAAACCTCCCGTCCCTATACACCTTGCGCACACGGGCCCCGCCTTTTTCTTCCCCCACAATCATACCCCGCCTCACTCGCTATTTCCCTTTCCCCTTTCCCTTTCCCCTTTCCCCTGTTTGGCTCTTCACCTCCCTCCTTCACTCGTGTCTTCTTTGCTATATTTTCTAGGCCCATACGGAATACATTTGTACCTTGGGAACCGCTGATGCGAATGCTGGTTTAGTGGTCCTGAGACGACAACACCACCCGCTCGCCAGGAGCGCAGTAAGGTCCAAATCGGGTCTCGTGATAGCTCTACGGGCTTGTCGGTGGCACCACCAATGTGTGTCTCCCCTG